AAGAGGATGTGGGATTGGAAAACTATAAATGGCTGAAAAATATGTTGGAACTGAGAACCATTCGCATAACAAGAAGCTGACCGGAGGCTCATGTGAGAAAAGAGAAGAAATAAGAGTGACCAAGCTACAGTTGAAACCTGACATTGTGAATAAAGTAACTGGGATCCACTGAGTATGGAGGCATCTGGGAGCTGAGTCTAGAGATGGAGAAAAGCTGAACGAAGAGCTGGGAGACGGGCTGAGGGAGGAACGGAGTACGGAGTGTTGGTGGGTGGGAAAAGGTGGAAGAGGGAATGTCTGAAAAAGAATTCTAGAACTATGTTTCGAAAAGCAAACGCTCAAAACTCAGAAAATTAGTTAGTTCAATCTAAAAGAAACCCAAACTGATTTGTATACGCAAACGCCCGGCCTGGCACCCAAACGCGCTGCACTTTGCATGAGGTGGAGGTGTTGGAGCGTTCTGCACAAAGGCATCAGCGGTCCCAAGGCTTCTCAGATGGAGAGCACTGCTGCTCTGCTGCCGAGGAGTTAAAACAAAAGCTCAGAGGGAGCCCTTAAAGCACAGAAACTGCATTCCTTCCTACCACAAAGCCGCTTCCCCAATCCTTTGCATAACCTTGGTCTCCCCAACACCTCCTCCCACCCTTCCTTCTCCTCCACCACCTCCTGCTAAACCTTATCTACTCTACCACATCCTCATTTTCCTCCTGTCCATAGACTGCTCTGCTCATTCTCACGTACTGCTTTGACTCCTCAATAGCAAAAAGTGACACTGTGGGGAACTGAAGGCATGAAGAAGGGGGATGTGGCTGTATGAGTGGGGAAAATGGAAAGAAACAAAGAATGGAAAGAAAGCTGCCCTGAGAAACCTGATCTAATTAGTCTGCTTTGAGTAGGGGGTTGGATGAGGTGACCTCAGAGATCCCTTCCAACCTAAGGTACTCTGTTGTCGTGCGCGGGGATGTGCGGTGTTGCGAGAGAAACAACTGGGGCTAAAGCAAACCCAGGTGAGTTGTGAGCGAGCAAATGAGAAAGAACATCTGCAGCTTGCTGCTGTTCTCATGTTCTTTGGCAGAAGCTCACATTCCCCAGCTCCTGGCATAGGACTCTGCTGACTTGGGCTGCGTACAGACCTCCCCAATACCACAGGCTCAACCGAACCAACTGACTTGCAGCATGCAAATGTGTTGGAGAGAAAAGGTGAAACTTGGTGTAGTTTTAGCTGTGGTACAGCTGCTTCAAAGAGCAAAGCTCCTTGTCTGCTTGTAGACATTGTACACTCTACTTGGCCGTAGGATGAGGTTAGTGGGTTCGTTACAGCAGCTTTGTTTCTTACAAGCTTTACATTTTTAGTGTTGTAGGTAAATGGGTATGTGAAGTTATATAAATCTGGGTTTAGTATTGCTTAGAACAAGGAAAAGTGGTGAAATAGCAAGTTAATACACAAAATAAATTAGAAATAAATGCGGATTCTTGGAATTGGTACCCACACAGTGCTGGAGTCTGTGTCATATCATAGTCTTTTCTACCAGTGCTCCACACATTTTAAATACACATGAGGGAGATTCCCATGGAGAAGATAGTTTTTTGGGCATTGTCAAAGAAAAAATATTTATTGTATTGTCATCAGTGATAAAGTCTCTGCTATGAATTTACGATGTGCAGTTAGAATGTAAGCAAAATTAGAGCAACAGAGTAGATAAACGGAATTGAACCATCATGTGATAAATGCACTTGTTATGAGGTTGGCACAGTAGTTTGGATTAAGCTTGATGGTTATGAAGTGACTTTTGTTGTGCAGAGATTTGAATGAAGGAGAAAAAAACTAAAAGGAAATGGAAGAAAGAAAAAGAGATTAAAAGGAAATGGAAGAAAGAAAAAGAGATTAAGAGATACAAGCAGAAAAAGTAAACTGAGACAGAAGGTTTACTGTGCCAAAAAAAAAAAAAAAAAAAGGGCAAAGTACAGAGCATAAGCCCTGCTGTAATTGAAAATAAAGACAAATACAGATTATAAGACTCTGGCAGTGTATGGATCTAGAAATGAGGCTATGGAGATAAAATTTAATGAAGGAGGAGACCAAAAAAATGGTAAATATATTAGGATACGTATTTTTTCAGGAAGTTTGGGGTATTTGATAAATGTGGAGCATCAGGTGAAACCGAATGATTGCACATTTGATTGCAGTTCTGTTTGAGGCAGGTGAGTAGCAGCTCAGACCTAGAAATGTCTAAAACTCTGTTTTAGGGTAGAATTAAAAGATAGATGCTGTCTCTGTAAGTTATTATAAGCAGATTATCCCTCAGTACAGGCAATGCAATTTTTCTGCCTTCTACACGTCTGATGTATGGCTGGAGGGACTCTAAAATATTGTAGGAAGCTCAGTATTTTGGATTTAGCTCAGTGATGGTTTTCTGAATAATATCTTTCCAGAAGAATTGAAGAGGAAGTAGTCAGCAGCTGATGAGGGTGGTTGGTTTTTTAAAGCAGGCTGCAAATGTTGCATGCAGGTTGACTATGAACACTTGCTTCAAAAGAGCATTGATGATCTCCAACAGCAGTGGGCTGCAAAATGTTCCAATAAATTGTGCTAATCGTGGGTCATCTCTCCAGATAATGACTTGACCTACCTTTTACCAGCACATCTACCTGTCTGGTACTTGGTTGCTTTCAGAGAAAATGGAAAGCTCATTTCTCTATAATTTTCCCGAACCAATGATTTTGTCACATTATTTTTGATATTTTTCTCTAAAACAGCTGAAGAGCTTCTGCTTGCATGTGTCACTGAGTGGCGATAATCCAGCCTGATTAGGCAGCCTATGATCCAGACCAGTTCCACTGGATGGGATAGAAATGGTGCTGTGGCAGAGAAGCAGCATCATTTGGTCTCCTTCGCAGCTGCAATATGTGATTATTCAGGCTCTTCATGCCACAAATGAAAAACCCAACCAGAAACAGATGGGGAGTGAATATTTTTAGAAACAGTATTTCAAAGCATTAACAAGAGGAAGAGAAAAAGATTTTGACTTTGGAGATAAAGAAAATTTTAAACCTGCTTGTTAAAGTATATTCAACAGTATTTAAAAAAATGTTTTAATTATAAATAATAGTGTTCCCTGAAATATTTTTCCTCAGATTCTTCCATTTCCATGTTACTTGCGGCCAAAACTAGTGTAAAATGCAAATTCTTCAATTCAAGGACAAGTAGCTGCTCTAAAATAATATTTTATAGTAATGCACATTTAAAGGTTCTTCTTGTTTCTGGTTGAAGGTTTGTTTTAATTTTGTGTTATTTCTCCAGCATCTGTTTTTTTTTCTGTGCAAGACTTGCTAGAACATGTAAAACTGGGTCTCTGTGATATAAGAAGGCTTTTTGACAAGCTTAAAATGGCTTTTGTGTTATCCTAAACATCTCCAGAATTAGCTCAGCAGTTAGCTCGTTTCGGTCATCATAGTTTTCCTGCAAGAGGCAATGACCCTTCTGCTCCGAATTACAGCGACAGAGAATGACCAGTTCTGCTTTTCAAGCTGCGTTTGTGATGAAGATATTTTTATGAAGAGAGGAATTAATCCTCTGGTTTTCTTGAATGTCAAATCTGCAAGTCTGATGAGGGCAAATGTCTTTTGTCTCTTTCTAGTAGCAAGTCAGTGGTGGAGAGTCATCGTCAGTACCTGAGTTTCTAGCTCAGCACCAAAGAAACCCTAATTATGTCAGTGTTGAGTGTGTTCTACTCTTTGGAGAGTTGCCTTCAGTGTACAATTCTAGAAACAAAATCTCTTCTGAAATTGTTTTATAGCTTTGAAATATCCTAACCCTAACTGAATAAAAATATTTCACTCGGAGAATATATACGATCCTCGAAGAACCGTAACTAAAAGTTGGATGCAAGATTTTTTTATAAGACTGAAAGATACTTTCTATTTGTTATTCTTGTCTTGGATAGAGAAAGTTCTGAAGCCCTCACCTCCTTTTAATTCAGTTGATTTCTGGCACTGATTGGTGTATTTATTGTGTACGTGAATGGGGAAGAAGAGTTGGGAAGCACTACATGGGGATTTTTTTTAAGCAGGAGCTTCTCTGTTTGGCTCCAAGGAGACACTGTAGCCCAGTGATGTCGCCAGGCTTTTCACTTCCACAGTGACATCGTTAGCGCAGATAATCTGACTATGTTTAGATAAAATTTCGAGAACTCAGGTCTGGAAGAAGCTCATCGCTTTCAACTATTTCTGATTTCAGTGAGGAGGAAGGTCTGAAAAGCTTCAAGTTAGTCACATTACTTAGTTATGACTTCCAAACTGTCATATTTGGCATCTTCAACTACACTGTAGTGTTGTTAAACAAAACCCTTCTCTTCGTTCCAGACCTGTCTCATTTTGCCTCATCTATTTTGGAAGCGTCATGATGATACTTCCCGATTTCTGAGTGCTTGAACATGGGTGAAATACATTAAATAATGTTAAAAGTTAAAATGATAATTTTCTTAGTGTTGGTTGAGTTTGGTTTTCTTTTCTGTGTTTAGATGTACTGGGTGACTTTACCATGGTATCTCAGGTGTCGAATTATCTTTTATTTTGCATTTTGAGTGTGATCTATACAATGCAGTTGTTATTAGGTGCTATTAATTTGTTGTACAGTAGAGACTAAAATCCACAGTTAAAAGCTTGAAAACCTTTTGCACTAGAATTCTGCAAAGATGTGATTAAATACAACTTATTTCCCAGAAAGGTTCATAAGCTAATATCAAAGTATCACTGTGGAGGTAAGCAAGCAAGAGGAAAGAACAGGAGCAGGAAAATGAGGGAAACCACAGAAGAACATGGTTAATTGTTATGTTCTGCACCGGATAGAGCTGTAAATGCCATTCTTGGTACAAGCAATAGAAATTATTCAACTGACAGGGCTTCATTTGCACAGGAAAAAATAGTGACAGATATATGTATGTGTATTTTAAAAGTGACTTCAGTACTGTAGTCTCTTTCACTGTAATATATCTCACCTCTTATCTTTGTTACTTAATTTGGCAGCATTGATGGTGCTTCTAAGTAAATTAAAAAGTGGTGACAGATGGAGAAGGCCCTATAAGCCAGTGTGCTTTTTATTCAGGCACCACACATAAGCTCTTATCTGCACAACGGAATGCACAGGAGATTTGTTTGTGAAGTAATCATTTATTATGCAAACACCAGAACTTTATTATATCAAATTTTCATTAAATATGTACATGTTATTACTATTTAAAAGAACGAGTATCATTCCAAGATCTGCAAACTTCTCTCTGGCTTTGAGAGCTGCGGCAGAGCCTGTATTAATGCTAGTTTGAAAGCTGTAAGCTACTGCAGTGCCACTGCGAGTGGCACAGCACCACCTTCGAAGGCAAAACTTCATCAGCCCTATTCTTTAGTTACAATATAATCAAAAAAAACAAAAAAAAATCTTTCCTGACAATAATATATTTGTACATGGTTTAAATTTCCCAACTCTGTCCAACTTGTAGGATGGAAGCAAAGAATTCTGTCACGTTTAGGATTCTCAGATGCTGAAGAAGGGGATTCGTACCAGAAACATCTGACGGTAAAGGCCGTTGAAAGGCAGAGAATGGGGCACAGGAAGCAAAGAGAGAGACGCGTCCATCTCCGCTGCTGGTATCCAGCCAGGAGGTCTTCTTCATATTTTTCTTGCTTAGGGTCCCATGGCCTCAGTGAGGATAATGCTTCCTATCAGTGACCCCCCTTCCCATCACCTCTCCGCTAAACTGGTAGGTCAGCTTCTTCTTGACTTTCTTGACCTCCCCTGTCTTGCCGTAGTTTCTCAAAGCCCGTGCCATCTTCTGGTAGGTCATTTTCTTGCGATTGCCTTTCTGGATGCCCCAGCGATGCGCCAATGCTTCTTTGTGTTTGGAGGAGAACTGGAAAGTACCTTTTTCCTTGTCTACCCACCAGATGCTGTCCTTCATGTCTCCACTGCGAAGAAGGTCCAGAAGGAACTGATACAGACGAATCTTTTTCTTGCTGCCTGTGTGAGAGTCAGAGAAGAAAGGCAGTGGAGCATCAGTATTAGCACGTAGTTCCTGGTGAAACAGCAGAACGTGTGTAATTCATGTAATTGTTTCAGTTAGCTTCTCAGTCACGTACCTCCTTCAGTTTGCAATGTTTATAACAATAGACAGTGTTACACTGTGAGGGCATAATGTGGATGGATGTACCAAGAAGAAAAAAATAAGGAATTCCAAACGTCAAACCCTTGTTTTGAAATTAATTTGCTAATTTGAAACTAGCTGAAAAACATTGCTAATTTGAAACTAATCTGAAGCTAATTTGGGCAGATTATGCAGAACCCGGCTTTCAGGTACTGAGCAAACAGAGCTAAATATTTTTTTAAATCAGTTCCTTGACCTTGTAGTCTTGGTTTTCTCGTCTGTTAATGGAAATTGGATTAAAAAAGGCAAAAGCCATTTCCGCATAGGTAGCCCGAATAGGCAAGGCAGAAGGAGGAACTGGGAAGTACGTGAAGAAATGAGATTTGAAATACAGACACAGTTATGGTTGTGAAAGATTCGGAGGAGAGGAGAGTGCAAGGAGTCAGGGAAAGATTTGGCAGTGGGATAAAATACCAGCACAGCAGTTCTACAGATTTATTCGCTATCATCATGGCAACGCGACGCCTGCTCAGCACACGGCTTGGTGAAGGCCCTCTGTCTTCACTCACCTGTTTCTCCATGCATGATTCCAGGCCCAGGGTCCACACCATCGGTCTCCCCATCTGATACCTCCAACGGGGGGCTCTGCCTCTCTATGTCCTCCTCATCAGAACTGGGCTGCGGCGGAGAGGAGTACTGTAGGCACATCCGGGGCAAATAGGGCACCTTTGGGAGAAACGAGTAGTAGAGGGAGGAGGTAGTGGTAAAGAGTAGGGCATTGAGATTTGGAAAAGGAAACATCAAGGAGAGAGTTACAGAGAAAAGGAGGGAGAAAGTAAATGAGATTATTTAGGGTAATACTGAGTGACTTGTTGGCATTTTGATAAACACTGTGCAGCTAGGAAACACCTCCAGCTGACAGCACTTAACGTGTGTGCAAAGGTGCATCTTCACAAGGGGGAAGGAGGAATAAGGTTGTGAACCTCACAACTTTCCCATATGTTACATCCTATGCAGGTGATATTGCCCGTCCTCCCCCATACCTCCCCAAAGCCAGCGTTCTTCCTAACAAGTTTCCGATCCCTGATGTCTATTCCCTGTGTAAAACTGCTTTTGAGAAAAACTTCTTTTCTAACATAGACCTTCTGGAACTACTCTTTTAAATTTGAAAGAGCTGAAGAGTTCTGCTCTAGCATGGCTGCTTTGACTGGCTTTGGCTCTGTTGTCCTCTTCCTTTCCCAGGCATAGTACCTTCTGACAGCCCCGAATCCCTCCAGGACTGAATCCCTCCAGGACTGCATTCAGCTCTGGACATGGGGTTACGTGGATCTGTTAGTCCCGTCCTGAATCTCCCCCTTGAGGAGGGGAATAGCCTTAGCACTGAGATATACAGGATACATCGTACTGGCTCACATTCTCTTTTCCTAAGTGGCTGTCTGAAAATTCCCTATTAATGGGGATTTCTCATCTGCAAAGCCAGTTTTTGTGCTGGATTCTTTTGCCCTTATATAGAAGTCTCGCCAGGAGCAGCGTGGAATATACCTCAGCTCTGTAAATTCTCAGTTGCAGTCTGGTTTGTTAGGGATCAAGACCAGATGCCAGGAATTATTGCAACTTCTAATTTAAGAATGAGAAACAGATCAGCCTGAGGAGCAGGGAGTAAGAACTCAATTCCTACATTAAAAAAACCCCAATCAACATCTCCCAAACCCAGCAGCGTATAGAAGGTGGTTTTCATGTAATGGGCCAGATCGATAGTCCTGGAAGGTGAGCTCCTGTTAGATTGTTCTTCCTTCCCTCCACCAAAGAAGGACATCTTGAGCCGGATTCCCTTCCCAGGGGACCTTAGGCACCGGAGCGGGGAGTGGGCGTTCATTCCGTGAGTCACACCACCCGCCCCGTGTCTGGTGGTGCTTTTCAGCCGTGCTTTGCACCAGCTGAAAATGTCCCAATAAGGAGCGTGCAGAGGGCTGGTTTTGGGGTGCAGGAGCTGGCAGTTAGTGAGTTGGCAGACTGGGGGGAGCTGGTCTGGCAGGAAGGCCAGCGTTGGGCAAGAGTGTGTGTTAAGCTTCCTGTCGGATCCCCCGGAGCGAAACTTCGGCCCTCGCCACAGTCACCTTCGGCTTTTTACGGTTGAGAAAGCTGCAGCCCCGGGGGTGGGAAGGAAGGGAGAGACTCAGCCATGGGGGAAGGGGGACGAGGAGGTGGGACAACGTCTTACAGGGGAGGGAAGCAGAGATGGGCGCCTCTGCGGAGAAAAAAAGTTGTGGGAACACGGAGCGCGCTGGGGGATGAAGTGGGAGTAAGGGAACGGCTCCTCTGGGGCTGGAGGGGGACAGTGGGAGAGGGCTGTGCAGGAGGGAGCGGGAATGGTGTCTCACAAGCAGAGGGAGTTGCAGGGACCAACGTGGGGAGTCAAGGAAGCTGCTCTATCTGCTCTGGTTTGGCTTACACTTACTTCATGCCTGAAACTCGGTGTAGGTCAATGCACACAGTCTCACAATCATGTTACAGGAGACCTGCTAGTATGTTTGGAAGAGCTGGGTTACTAATAACAGCACTTAAGAGAGAGAAAGCTTAAGAAAGTGCTACCTATTTTCCGTATTCTGATATGCCGTGTTCTGGGGCACCCATTTGTGATTTTCCACTTTCTAAAGCTCTTCACGGTTTTCCAACCTTTTCTTTCGTTCTCCCTTCCGAATGACTATTCTTAATTTCTTATTTGGTGAGACCACCTGTGCCAGGCTAACAGAACTTTTGAAAGAAACCTTGCCCAAGAACAGCTTGAGCCTCGAATTTGATTTCACAAAATAATGTGATATCAACAGAAACCAGAAGAAATGCCTTTGCACGTTCTCCCTTCCTTTGCAAACTGCAACTCTGCTGTTGCACGACGAACAGGGGCGCAGTTAGTAACCAGCAAATTCAGCGGAGGGTTAAAGCTCGCTTCCCTCTTCTGTTTCTTTGAAAATGCCTTGAAAAACAGTCTGCGTCGCCTGGGACTGTGGCTGAAACACACCCGAGCCCGAACCTCAGAACCTGCTGAGCACCACTCGCAGCAGCTACTGTAGGTTAAAGTCAAAAGCCAAAGATCCCCAGCTGGGAGGAAGAGGAGTGAAGTGGCGAATTGTGCCTGCTAATACTCTCTGCAGCTCGGTATGGGGGGGCAGAGAGAGCACAGCGCTCTTCATCGGAAGTTGCAGCAAAATGAATTCTCTACTTTTCGTCCTGAAATGAAAGACAGTGACTGAGCAGAAGGCAGTGGGCTCAGCAGAAGCAGCCTCGCTTGTATTTTTTGGTGGTGCTTCCAGAGACGTCCGTAACGGGGTTGGGTTTTGTTCTTTGCCTTTGGTTGGAGGTAACGGTTGGTCACTCGGTGTTGGCAGTTGCAGTGAGCAACTGACACGACTTGAAGCTTCCCACAGACTGCTGTTCCATGAAGCATTTTTTATATTTGTAACTTTCTGTTCCTAATTCTTTATCTACACCGTATATTCTATTCCTGATTTTTTTTTTCTGAGTCGTAGGTGAGCAGTTCGATGGCTTGCAGTCAGTCACTTTCCTGTTGACTCTGTTAACTTCATTTTTTTTTCCTTTTTTGGTTTTGATCAAGACAGTATTTGCACACAATTTCAGTTTGCTTTGAACAAAGCAGCCCAAAAGGACAACTCCATGCATGCAGTTTCTCTCACTAAACTTCAGCACCACCATCAGCAAACGCATATTCTTGTAGGATGAAGAGTTAAAAGTGATCTCCACACCCACTTTGTGTAGTACCTTTGCAGTTCTGTGGAACCTCTTAGCATTTCAGCTTTAGCGAGAATTCACCGGCACTTTGGTGACCATGCTGCACAATGGAGTATCTTTTTTTAAAGGGACATGACTGGCTTTGTGGAAAATCTGAGCAGAGGCAAGACAGTGTGTTTTGGCTCACGGCTTGTTTACTTTCAGGTAAAAACACAAGTAGATTGTCATCAGCCTGTTTCACTGTGGGAAAAGTCCCAGTGACTTGTCTTGTTAGCACGTCTTGTACGGGTCATGTAAAATCGTCAGGGTTGCTTGGAAATATTTAAAACTTCCCTACTACTTTGAGGCTCAGAATACTTCCCAGTGGTGGTGTATACCCTTGCTATGACAATGCATAGCTTCTCAGGTCCCGTTCCTCTGCAGAATTTCAAAACAGTTGATTTTCATTCCAAACTAAACAAAATTTTGAAATGTCAAGAACCTCCACAAAACGCGATTATCTTTTTAGGCACGGTTTGAGGAATGTGACTCCGCATTATCCAGATAAAAAGAATGCTTAAACCAGATTGTCCTGAGGATGAAGAGTTTTGTACCAAGTGCTTCTGCAGTAAGAACTTGTGTCATTCATTTCAGCTCTCTCTTTCATATAAGAGTATGCACCCCCTGATGTGTTATTTTCCTTACCTTTCACTGTCGTCCTAAATGGTGAGTAAGGGTTGGTAACCATACCTGATGGTTGAGTCCGATGTGTGTGGTTGGGATTGCAGAATCCAAGACGTGCATTTGTTCGATCTCCATGTGCCTGTAGAGCTGCTGCAGCTGGGGAGGCTGGACGCTCTGCAGCTCTGTGAAGTGGTTGTCTCCAAAGGTCTCAAACTCGCTGTGCATGTGGTGTGGATGATATTCCCAGTAATGATCTGAGGAAAACAAACCCAGAGTGTCTCTACAAGATCAAGAATCACGGCAGTTACCTGGCTTTCATTGGTTCCTATTCCTGCCACTGTCCTTTCCACCCTCTCCACGCCGTCCCCGTTGACCTGTCTGTCTCTGGTGACAATTATACAGATCCCTGTAAAGTTTGATTTCCTAATCTCCTAAATACCTGTGGCTGGAAAGGGATACTTGGTCCACTTTAATTAGGAGAACACTCTTAGATGGAGAGATGGATTTCAGGGATAATTTGGCACAAGATGCAAAAGACAATGATGCTGGCACCTTTCTCAAGAAGAGACCTTAACAATCTTACATTTTGGTTCTTTAGGCAAGAATTCTACTGATTTACGTATTGTCATGTTCTCATTACACTCTTCCTCATGGCATGGAAGTGAGGTAAAGGTGAAAATTTGCACATCATCCGCAATTATCTTTAGTCTTTATTTTAATCTACTATCAAAATTTCAGGAATGTTACAGAAAAGGCATAGCACCTTCCTAGATATTTCTCGTAATCATGTGTTGATGTGTCACCCATTTTTCAGTACCAATACTTGACAATAAAAGTGTAAACTGTTGTGGCAGTTGTGTGTACACTGCAGTGATGCCAAATTCTGCTGCAGACTCATTCTGCCTTTTTTCTCTTTCGTATGTTTGAAATTTCTGTGATAATTCCGATTTTTTCAAAAACATAAAGAAGTACTTAGATAGCAACTATACTGTTTCCTCGTTTATTTATTTCACTTTTGAAATTAAATTCCATACAATTCCCATTTTTAGATTTCTGGGGGTTTTTTTTGTAAAAGCCCCTGAAAATTTTTAGAATTTCATATTTGCTGTTCAAAAATTAAAATCTGCTAGAGGAAACGTGAAGCACTGCACCTCTATTTCTCTCTTATATACGGTGGGTGCAGGCATAATGATGCACATATTTGCGTGCACTCTGTTTTGTAAAATCGAAGCCAACATGACGCCCTTCGCTCTGACTCGCTAAGGAGTGATCTTCCACACTTCAACTTTTCATGGATCATTTTCTGCATGGCGGAAATTTCTTTATGGCACCCAGTGTAACAGCTCTAATTTATATCTTACTGTTCCGACTTTTCTTCCCTGGTATTATTCTAAATCATTTCTGTCCAACCCTTCACACGTTTTCAGATTGCTATCATTGTGCCCTTACAATCTGCTCCTAATTACCACTTAACCCAGCTGTGTGTGTTTGTCTCTCAGTCTTTCAGAATAAATCAGTGTATTCACCCCTCTAATCACACTTGTGCACTTCTCCAAGCTCCCTCCCAGCTGGTGACATCCTTCCCGTAACGTGAGGGACAGAACTGAGCGTGTTCTTCCAAATGTACTGAATTTGTAGAGGAGCAATTGTCTCGTTCTGCAGCACGATGTTACTGTGTATGACGTTATCTGGATGCTAATGTGCTGTGAAGATTTTTTCTTCAATACCAGTTTCA